GGATGAAGTGAATATCTGAGTGGAGTGGGTTTGAGAGAGACAGGAAGAGAAAGAATTGTAGAAAATGATCATAGATGACTTTGAGAAGTGTGGATGGTAGATGAGGTAGGGAAATGAGGACCTATTTGAAGGTTTGCTGTGGGAATTTGAGTTAAAGAAGGGTCTTTCTTCAGATGTAAAAATAATGGCACTTATGCATGTTGAAGGCCGCAATCCAATGGCAAGAGCAAAAACAATGATCAAAGTGAGAAGGTGGGGAGTTGCTAATTAGATGAAAGGAGATAGCCAGGTTGGAAAACAAAAGGAACACTCATGGCAGGAAATAATAGTTAAAACTGAATTTACCCTTCTTTCACTTAAAGAATGAGGAATAAAAATAGAACAAGACAATTTTTTTAAGTATAGAAATTCTATTATTAAAATAAAATTGCCATGGTATTCATCATAATTTTAACTAAGTGGTGATCTAAAAGAAATGTAATTACAATATTATATAAAATCTCCCTGACTTCACACATACTATTCCTTTTCTCTTTGACCCATCTTTCCTTCTATCATCTTCTCCATTTGCTACTCCTTTTCTGTTTTCTTTTTCCTTTCTAACTCTTGCATTCACAGAATGTCCTTCTAGTCCTCATTTTCTACTGTAGACTAAGCCTCTACCTTTTGGTAATTACGATCACATATCCCCACACATGTTTTTATTTTGTGGTAGGTTCTCAAAATGACAATAGACTTAAAATTTTTCAAAATAATTTGCCTCAGCCCTTCTCAGCAAATTATAGATAATAAATAAATCCCATTTCTTCTAGGCACCTACGCCAATATGATAGATCGTTTCAAAGGAAATCCTTTCTCTGTGTACCTACCTAACCCAGGATAATTTTAATGTAGAATTTAGTATTTTTAAAAAATCATGGTATTTTTGTTTTGCTTATATGTGAAGAGTTTAAGTGAATATAAACATGTTTTACTTCTCAGAACTTTTTGTTAAAATGAAGCTTTAGGAGGATTTTTGTAAGTCCCTATTCCTTCGGGTATGGAATTGAAACTCATACCATAATCAAATGGTACTAAATAGTTTGGTATACAAAATTTTGCCAAGATTCCCTGTTCTTAGGTTGTAAGAGTTTTGACATAGTGAAGCACATAATTATCTTATCTTTGGAGAATTTCACACATGCTGCTTTTTATTTGTTGTAGTCAGAAGCCACGCCTGCGAACTGGATGCCTATGGAATGCCAGGGGGATGCTCACACATCTGTCTTCTCAGCAGCAGTTACAAAACACGGACCTGTCGCTGCAGGACTGGCTTCAACTTGGGAAGCGATGGCAGATCATGCAAAAGTATGTTGTTAAAATCAAACATTCAACTTTGGTAGCCAGCAGCTGCCACTTCAGAAAGGCATTTTTAGTATTAATTAGCTGCATCAATATCAGTAATACCAGGAGATTTAATCAGTTGAAATTTGTCTGCAAATACATACTGGCCATTTTTCTGAAAATCAGTATTTAATTTTCTTATCCAGTGATGCAAATGAGAAACTAATAAGTCTGAGGAGTCACTAAATTTATTGATCTTAGAGAAATATACCTTAGGAGAGATTTTTAGGAAGAAGTTGCCCTTAAACCCCTAAAGAATGTTTTTAGGCTAATGAGTTAGAATCATTAATGCACCAGATATTCTCTCATCTGAACCAAGCCTAGTCATGGGTGCTCCTAGTCATGGGTGTGTTATCTGGTCCGACAGAAATCCACATATGGTCGTGCTTCACTTTATCCAGAAAGATTATGAAGTGAAATTAAATTCATAACTTAATTTTTTTCGGTAACCAAAGCTATGCTAACTATGCAGACATCAAATTTTTAGCAGTTTTATCAGTGTTCTGTCTGTTAGACATATCTTTGCTTTATTTTTAAACATATCAGAATATTCAATTGTGCTTTATATAAAGAGTGTCAAGGATGGGAGGAGTTTGCAATTTTATATTGAATGGTCAGAATGGTTCCTTGAAAATACAATATTGAATGAAGACTTCAAGTAATTGCAGAAATGCTAAAATATTAAGTTAACATGCAGGGCTCATGTTGCAGTGGACTTTTGGATAATTCGGGGTGTTGAGTTTGAAGCCACAAGATAGAAGTTTTTGGTGTACATGCATGAGTGTGTGGTTTTATAACTGGTCTACATGCCACTTGAGAAGTGATGGTATGTCCTACAAAAGTATAAATCACACATACACATACGTGTGTTTGTGCATACATATGTACACATGTTTGGGGAAGAAGAGAAGATCAGACCGCATATGATTTAATGTAATTCCTAATATATTGTGTTACTTGGGTGCATTCATAGTATTCAGAAAAAATTCTAGTTATTTTATGCAGAAAGAGATTTAATGTAAATAGATGCTTAAAAAATCATTGAAATGCCTGGAACAGTAGCCTCTAGACTGGGTTTTTAGAACATTTGCCCAAACCACAATTAAACTAGCCTGCCTAAAAACTGGAACATCCGCCACAGTCAAAAGCTAGGACACCAAGAAGCCATAAAGGAAATGTTAACTTCAAAAACATAGA